AAGTTCGCCAAGTCACGTTTTTTAATGTAAAAATCGAAAAATTTGTGACAATTCAAGCAATCTTTAGCATTTCCGGTGTCTGGCGAGTTGGTTGGTGGAATTTAATCACAAGTGTCTGTTTAATACAGGTTGGCAACAATAGAAATTACCATTTCAGGTACTTTTTAGGTGTCCGCGTCCGCTTAATAGAGGTGTCCGCTTAATGAAGGTTTCATTTAAAGTAAATAAGGGAAGTAAATTTTGGGGACTTCGTCTACTGTCCGCTTAATACGGTGTCCGCTTAATACAGGTTTCACTGTACAAGCAAGTTATTTACCTGTCCCTTCGGGGTATATGATATTTATCCATCCATTGCCTGCGTGGCAGACACTCTAAACCTTCTGATTATACAAATGGTTTAGACAAGTGCGTGAGCCGGCTGCAACGCAGGCTATCCATCCAGAGCCGCTCCTCGGGTTGCGCCCTCAGGGCGGCACCAGGTGAAGATATCACATAGCCCCTCGTTCCAGGTAAATAACCCTTACTTAAAAGGGATGGAAAGATCTTAATCATGTGAAAGGGATACCTTTTCTGTCAAAAATGGTATTTTTAAAAAGGTAAGGAGTTAGACCTTGGGGTGCCCCCCCCCCCCCCCATAAAACTTTTCGAGTACCCCAAGGGGAAAATTAGTTAACATGCTGTTCTATGCAAATCAAAATATATCCTGTAGCTCTCTTTTTATAAGTAAGGATTACGCTAATAATGTACATTATATTATAAATAATTATTACTTACAGTGTCATGTACAATAGTGTGACTTGAAAGTACAAGCATCAAAACTTGCAGAAGACTTTTAAAGCAGTAATTGCTGCGGAGCGACCGAAGGGAGCGAGCAGCAACATAATCAGGATTTAAAGGAAATATATAAGGGGCGACGAATTCTCGAATTCATCACTTTTTACCACAATGCATTGCATTTAACCACACTTTTTACGACAATGCATTGCATTTAACCAGAGTGCATTGCGCCACCAACAACTCAAATAAAAACACGGGGAAGTTCACATAGTTCGCTGCCTAGACTCAGAGTTTTCTTTGTAGCAAATTTTCTACAGCACGGTTAGAGGTCTTACCAAATTTTAAGACACGCAGGAGTCTTTCAGATGAGTACGATGGTTAACTTGGGGATTGGATTTCAATTCAAGAGCCTTTTTTGTCTCGTCCAGGTGTTAAACCTGACGAGAAGATGAGCATTTGCTCTTCGACTCCGCAACACGGGGGATATACAAATTCCAGCTTGCTAGAAGGTGATGTGAAAGTGAGAAAATGTCATGCAATGCTATTCTTAAGAAACTGTATTAGCCGAAAATGGATGTGATTTTGACCATTCGCTTCAAAATAACAGCGGAGATCGAGATAACAAAACATATGTTTTGTGTCCTACTTTGCAGACGAGGACGTGTATCGGCGTTTTGAAAAGCATAATTATGTTCTTTCATTCATTTATTGCCATGGAATATGCGTTTACATTGTTTTTTCACTGTTAATAGCTCGGTTAATGCGGCTGGCGATCATCTTGCCGGCGGAAGTTTCATGGAAAAGGAATAAAATAAAAGACTTTTCCTAAAGACTACGTAATCACTCTCTCTGGTGTAGTGGTTAGGTGTAGTCGCGTCGAGTTGAAGGTGCCGGGTTCGAGTCCTACTGAGTTATTTATTCCTTCTTTCTTTTTTTTTTCCGTTTTTTGTGTTGTTGTTTTCTATAAATATATAGCTAAATAACTGTTACTTAATAAAGTGCAACAAACAGCAAGAAAAGTATTGTGTTTCCAGAGAAAATATCGTGCACCGTATATTAGATATATGGATAAACGATCTGAATTTCTATTATTTCCTACAATTTACTGTGGGAAAACCAGAGTTGATAACCACTTGATCATTTTCTAAACAACGTTCCCACGCGTTCTTTCTATAGACTGATAGTAATTATTCGAGTACTTTCCAACATGTAAATAGGACATTCAATGTCATTTTTGATTCTTTTAAGTCTTACTGCCTAACTAATGCCAGTATCAATAGAATGTGCCGCAGCATTACTATCTTTTAGATACCCTAGTTTAAATATATATAAACTTTATTACATAAAAATAATTTGCTTGTTGCCAGAATGTTAGCTGATCGTCAGCCTAGAGTCGCGTCTGTAATCAAAGCTACCATGTGCTTTCTGTAGACCAGTGTCTAATAAACTTACAAAAGAAGGGATATCCTTGTCAGCTTTACAATTTTGAAGTTCCACATCATTGTTTTGACACTTAACATAGACACCAGTTTAGATACACAAAACGATTAATTTATTTTTATAGGTGAAATCTTGGTTAGGTCAGTAAAACGTATTCTTTGTACAGATGTGCAATTAAAAGCCACGTAGACTTAAATCAAATTGGAAATTTAGTTTCTACAAAACAAAGATCAACTGACTCTTTAATTTGTTTTGACCAGACACCAAATAATTACGGAGTTTAATAGACCTATTCGGCTAACGCAATGTTGTACCCAATTCAAATCTCCCGGGGTTAACATTTTCTATGTATTGTATTTGCATTATAATGTGGCATTCACATTTAAATGATATGGAAATTCCTGAAACAAAACGTTTTATTCCCAAAGGGTTTGAATTTGGTACAACATTGAGCTAGCCGAATAGGTCTATTTCTCTAGTTGTCTTTCTTTTTTCTATCTGGCTTAACCTCTTGTAAGGGCCTGTTTACATGGAGGTGGGGGACCCCAGGTAGGTGAGGTAACCCGCTTAGGTGGGGTAACCCGCCTGTCCATATAATCTCTCATTTTCATTTGATCACGTTTACATGATAGGTGGGGTGACCCGCCAAGGCGGGTAGCCCGGTCTACCAGACCGGGTTACCCTCTCAGCCGGGGTCACAATTTGTCATGTAAACGTTTCAAGGTGGGGTAACCCGCCTGGCCGGGGTCGGATTCGTGATACATCAAATTCGCGCAAAATTCACTTTCGCGGTGTCTTTGCATTATGATTAAAGTTAACAATAGAAAGCTATTGCACTGACGGGTTGCAGCAAGAGCAACAAGAGAGTGAGTGTTTGCCCGCATTTTTCTTGTTTACGTGCTTAGCGACCATTCAATAATCTTGAGAAAGTGCACCCCGGGAAGGCGGGGTTGTAAGATTGCATGTAAAGGAGGGTTATTTTTTTACCTCACCTAAGCGGGTTACCTCACCTACCTGGGGTCCCCCACCTCCATGTAAACAGGCCCTAAGTAAAAGGAGTCGACAAGAGAAATCAAAAAACGTGATGGTCAAAACAGCGTCGGGAACGCGAATAAGCTTGGGCTATGAAATGGAAATCCTATGCCTATCAAAAACACGAGTAAATGTAAAACCACATTTATTAGTGCATGATTTAACCTTGTGACTGAACAGGGAATTTGACTTCATTATTACAATGGAGACCAACCTAGACACTAATAAACTTAGACAAAGCTGCCAAAAGAATTAAAAACTACTACTGTGTAAATAAGATAGCAGTAAAGAACTATAATAAATTGCTAGTCTAAAGTGCCTCTGTCCCATGTGGTATCAATGACAATAGCCGAAATTGACTACTGATTCCTGATATTTTTCAGGTTTCAAGTGCACATGACTGGTCGTAAAATAAGCTACGAAACGTACACTGTAATTTTCAGACTACGAAAAGCTTTAACTTATTCATTAACAGTATATAATTTTCTCTTCGGGTTAAAGTGTTCCTGTTCTTGCGAGGAACGCTCCGCCTCGTAATTGTGACAAATTAGAAACTGACTTCAACTTCAGATAGTTAGGAGCTGCTTCACTGCATTATTCATCATACCTATACCACAACAGCAACAACAAAAACAGCAAAAAAGCAATTTTAGCAAGCTAGCAAAAGAAAAGGGTAGTGATTTCATCTGGCGAAGCATAACATTTTGACAACTGACTTCTAAGAGTGCGGCGCTCGATTGATCGTATTTCCGAATAAGAATACGAAAAAGGTTTGTAACAAACCTCTTCTATACCGTAACTTTTGAACCATTCAAAGTTTATATAGATAAGAATACTTTCTTTCAAGCTGTTTTGTAGACATTGCATTACAATGAAAGCCAAAACAAGCGATTTCTAGCGCGTTTATTCTAGTTATTCTTATTTGGGACGCGGAATAAGGTGAATCGAAAACGCCCTAAATCTATTAGAGCAAAGGGTCACATTTAAACTGGTAACTTCAACCAACGATTAGACCTATTATAGATTTAAAGAAACTTGTAAACCATAAATCCCCTATTTAGCCCCCCTCTCTATAATTAGCTCCCCTTTTTAGGGAAAGAAAGCTATTAAGCCCCCTCTCCCTTCTTATATAATAAACGTATGATAGATGTATTAATTTATAACGACTATAACACTTCAAGTGAATTTGGTTTTTATCTTTGCCTTCACGACCTCCAACTTTATGTGCCCGTTTTTTTCCATTTAGCGTTCTAGTTGATTTGTCTATATGAAGATTGAAATGATACTTATAATTAAATAAGCCTCTCCCTCGCTCAAACGTTCTTGAAATGAATAAACTCTAGGAATGCATAATGGCGAATTTACCATACCTGGAAACTTTCCTAAGTGACCACCCTCCGTAAAATAAGCGACCAGAAATTTGATCTTGGCATTTTGGGTAGTCGCTTACGTCAGTTTCGAGTGAAAATTTCAATGGAACGAACTCAAACGGTGCCACCGACCCTTTAAAATGTAAAGAAATCACGAGACTTGAAATAAATTTTGGAATGTTTAACTGCCAAACAAACTACCAAAGTCAAACTCCTTTTTTGCTGTTAACTTGACCTGTGAAAGGCAGGTTGACGTTAAGTAGCAACGGTTAGGTTCGTTGCCCTATAAAGCGACAACAAATAAATTGCATGTAAAAATAACGTTTGCAAAATCAGGGATTATGATCCCAGGTTTAAATATATTAAAAAATACCTTGTTATTTAATCGATGCCTTTAAACTCAAGCGTTACGTCATCACCAATGAGAACAAACGGCGCCCAGTACTTCACTGCGCTAAAGCGGTCAGATTCTCTCATGGATTTCATGGCTTTATTCAAGGCCTCACTGACACTTCGTCCATGGACTAAGTGTTGGTAGAAAACTTTCATGAACTCCATTGTAGCTTCGTCGTCGATCGCCCATAGGGACACCAGAACAGAGCGAGCACCAGCACCCAAAAATGCCCGTGCGATGCCGACCACACCCTCAGATTTGACTTCTCCTCGCGCACTATGACAGCAACTAAGTACAACAAGTCTTGCTCTAATCTGCGCCTTTAAAACATCTTGCGTAGTTAAGAGATAATTCTCCCTGGCTGGATTCAAGGATGAACGTGTTGGGCTAGGGGCCAAAGCAATTTCTCCTGTTTCCATTCTACCGTGAGCAGCAATGTGCACCAACGAAACCGAGGAGATACGTCTTAAAACTTCATCTTTTGTTGCCTGCTTTCCAACGAGAGGTGCAGTTTGAAGTATTTCCCCAATCATCTGTACTTCCTTTTCGGCCCACTCTAACTGTTCTAGCGTTATTCCTTCATAAACTACCTCCTGTACCCACGGATCGCCAACGAGAAGAGCGCCAGTCTTGCTGTGCCAATCTGCTGGACAATTTTGGATTAATCGAAGACTAGAAAGTGAGGGAAGAAGACGAATTCTAAACGTTTCACAGAGGTACTTTGATTTAAAGTCCATGAAAGCAGCATAGGGGGCCAAACACAGAGGTCCTTGTGGAACAATCACAACCTCATCGCTATGGAGTAAGTCTCTTATAGGGTCTACAACAACTTTGTAAAATGTTTGTAATGACTTTGTCTCAAAAAAGGAGGAATGAGACCTTGGCTTACTGGATCTTTCTTCTGCTACCATTTTATCGCTTGGGTTCCTTAATGACCGGTCTTCACAGTTAACATCAGCTCTCACACCCATTTCTTCATAAGCACTCTCCAACAGAGACTGAAAATAAGTTGTGGTGGAAATATCGATCTCAGTTCTTCTAGTTTTGATCTCTTTTCCTTTTTCGTTCACCCAGAAGAATATTCCTTCCTCATTGATACCTATGAAAGCTGTATTTAATGGTAGGTAACTTAGAATGTCGGGTGTCGTTGTATGCAGTGTTCCTGTATCTAGACGGAAGCCTTTAAGCCCATACTTGAACTCCAGAACATCATTTAAAGCCTGAGCACATCCATGATCAGCAGTCAAAAGTGCCTCGACGACCTCACCTTGCTTCAACTGCAGCCCCCATAGAAACAAATTAGCATCATCATAAGCACTCCCAAGACTAATCTTCCACTCGTCATTAGATATCAGATTTCGCCTGATCTGGTCAAAGACAATGACACTTTTTTTAAAGTAGTAAACGGTTTTCTGAAAGTCTCCAAGACTGTTATAGGCGTTCCCAAGATTCCAGTACGCTTTTCCTTCCCCTACTCTGTCTCCCACTTCTTTTGAAATTTTGAGGTGTCGTTCATGGTACTCTATGGCTTTCTGGAAATCTCCAAGTTTTCTAAAGTCGCTGCCAAGATTGCTGTACGCTATTCCTTCCCCTGCTCTGTCTCCCACTTCTTTTGAAGTTTTGAGGTGTCGTTCATGGTACTCTAAGGCTTTCTGGAAATCTCCCAGACTATCATAGGCGTTGCCAAGATTACCGTACGCTTTTCCCTCTCCTGCCCTGGCTCCCACTTCTTTCGATATTTTGAGGTCTCGTTCATGGTACTGTATGGCTTTCTCGAAATCTCCGAGACTGTCGTAAGCGTTGCCAAGGTTACAGTACGCTCCTCCTTCCCCTGCTCTGTCTCCTACTTCTTTCGAAATTTTGAGGTCTCTTACATGGTACTCTATGGCTTTCTGGAAATCTCCCAGATTGTCATAGGCGTTGCCAAGATTACAGTACGCTCTTGCCTCTAATGTCCTGTCTCCCACTTCTTTCGAAATTTTGAGGTGTCGTTCAGTATACTCTATGGCTTTCTGGAACTCTCCAAGATTTCTAAAGGCGCTGCCCAGATTACCGCACGCTCTTCCTTCTCCTACTCTGTCTCCCACCTCTTTCGATATTCTAAGGTGTCGTTCATGGTAGTCTATGGCTTTCTGAAAATCTCCACGTTCACTAAAGGCGATGCCAAGATTACCGTACGCTCTTCCTTCCCCTGCTCTGTCGCCCACTTCTTTTGAAATTTTGAGGTCTTGTTCATGGTACTCTATGGCTTTCTGGAAATCTCCAAGACTGTTATAAGCGTTGCCAAAATTACAGTACGCACTTCCTTCCCCTGCCCTGTCTCCCACTTCTTTCGAGATTTTGAAGTGTCGTTCATGGTACTCTAGGGCTTTCTGAAAATCTCCAAGACCGTGATAGGCGCAGCCCAGATTACAGTACGCTCTTCCTTGCTCTGCTCTGTCTCCCACTTCTTTCGAAATTTTGAGGTGTCGTTCATGGTACTTAATGGCTTTGTGGAAATCTCCAAGACTGTCATGGGCGCTGCCAAGATTACCGTACGCTCTTCCTTCCCCTGCTCTGTCGCCCACTTCTTTTGAAATTTTGAGGTCTTGTTCATGGTACTCTATGGCTTTCTGGAAATCTCCAAGACTGTTATAAGCGTTGCCAAAGTTACAGTACGCACTTCCTTCCCCTGCCCTGTCTCCCACTTCTTTCGAGATTTTGAAGTGTCGTTCATGGTACTCTAGGGCTTTCTGAAAATCTCCAAGACCGTGATAGGCGCAGCCCAGATTACAGTACGCTCTTCCTTGCTCTGCTCTGTCTCCCACTTCTTTCGAAATTTTGAGGTGTCGTTCATGGTACTTAATGGCTTTGTGGAAATCTCCAAGACTGTCATGGGCGCTGCCAAGATTACCGTACGCTCTTCCTTCCCCTGCTCTGTCGCCCACTTCTTTTGAAATTTTGAGGTCTTGTTCATGGTACTCTATGGCTTTCTGGAAATCTCCAAGACTGTTATAAGCGTTGCCAAAGTTACAGTACGCACTTCCTTCCCCTGCCCTGTCTCCCACTTCTTTCGAGATTTTGAAGTGTCGTTCATGGTACTCTAGGGCTTTCTGAAAATCTCCAAGACCGTGATAGGCGCAGCCCAGATTACAGTACGCTCTTCCTTGCTCTGCTCTGTCTCCCACTTCTTTCGAAATTTTGAGGTGTCGTTCATGGTACTTAATGGCTTTGTGGAAATCTCCAAGACTGTCATGGGCGCTGCCAAGATTACCGTACGCTCTTCCTTCCCCTGCTCTGTCGCCCACTTCTTTTGAAATTTTGAGGTCTTGTTCATGGTACTCTATGGCTTTCTGGAAATCTCCCATATTGTCATAGGCATTGCCAAGATTACCGTACGCTCCTCCTTCTCCTTCTCTGTCTCCCACTTCTTTTAAAATTTTGAGGTCTTGTTCATGGTACTCTATCGCTTTCTGGAAATCTCCAAGACTGTCATAGGCGTTGCCAAGATAACAGTATGCTTTTCCCTCTAATGCCCTGTCTCCCACTTCTTTTGAAATTTTAAGGTGTCGTTCATAATACTCTATGGCTTTCTGGAAATCTCCAAGACTGTCATAGGCGTTGCCAAGATTACCATACGCTCTTCCTTCCCCTGCTCTGTCTCCTACTTCTTTTGAAATTTTGAGGTGTTGTTCATGGTACTCTATGGCTTTCTGGAAATCTCCAAGACTGTCATAGGCGTTGCCAAGATTACCGTACGCTCCTCTTTCCGATGCTCTGTCTCCCATTTCTTTTGAAATTTTAAGCTCTTGTTCATGGTACTCTATGGCTTTGTGAAAATCTCCAAGACTGTGATATGCGTTGCCAAGATTACCATACGCTCTTCCTTCCCCCTCTCTGTCTCCCACTTCTTTTGAAATTTGAAGGTGTCGTTCATAACACTCTGTGGCTTTCTGGAAATCTTTAAGACTGTCATAGGCGTTGGCAAGATTACCATACGCTCTTCCTTCCACTGCTCTGTCTCCTACTTTTTTTGAAATTTTGAGGTGTTGTTCATGGTACTCTATGGCTTTCTGGAAATCTCCAGGACTGTCATAGGCGTTGCCAAGATTGTAGTAGGCTTTTCCCTGCCCTGCCCTCTCTCCTACTTCTCTGGATATTTTGAAGTCTTGTTTGTGGTTGTTTATAGCGTTCTGGAAATCTTTTAAGTCGACATTGGCGTGGCTAACATGATTATTCCCTTTTTCTTCCTCTCTCCCCTCTCTAACGTCATTGGTAATCTTGTTGGTGTTTTCAAGATTACAGTTTGCCTCTTTTTGTCTTTTCTGAGCCATTCCAATAACAAATTGCATATAAAATCGACTGCTTTTCCAGAAGATAGTTGTGGTTGTCACATTTTTTGCTGGCTTAATTTGCTATTTCAGCTGTTCTGAAAAAAAGTATAGATATGTTGTGGTTACATTTCTCCGTTGATACCATTTTTCTTTACGTACGATAACGAAGACCCTACTGTAAAAAGTTATTTATTAGGTCGTTCATTATTTATTTTTGTCTATGACAGTCGTATTTGGTTTTCCACAAACAGTGATTCTTCTACACGTTTTTATCGTTGTGTAATACGATTTCATGAACTGCGGTCCTCTCTAAAGAATGAAAATACTATTCTTTCTGGTGATAATAATCGAAATTAAAAAAGAGAGATTTAGCATTGTTTAAATATAGTGAATATAAATTCTCTGTCTTCTTATTGTTCATTCATCCTATTCTACCTTTCACTGAAAATACCTTGGATACTAAAGCTTTTTTTTTTCTTTGCTAGCTTAGCAATTTCAGCTCGTCTGAAAAAAGTATGCATATTGCGGTTTCATTTTTCTGCTGATACCATCTCTCTTTATGTACGATAACGAGGAGAATCTGAAAAGTAAAATTAAAAGCTAGAGCAAAAGCGTATTTATTAGCTCCTTTGTTCATCACAGTCGCATTTGATTTTCCATAAATAGAGATCCTTCTACGTGTTTTCCATCGTTGTATAGAATGACTTTGATGGAATGGGGTCTTCTCTAATAAAGTAAAATAATAATATTCTTTTAGGTGATGATGATCGAAATCATCGAGAAAAAGATTTGCCATTGTTGAAACAAGGTGCATATAAATTATATATCTACTCATTGTACTTTTATCTTATTCTACCTTCCACTGAAAATAGTAAAGCTGTTGCCAACAAACTACAAACCAGGCCAACGGGAACATTCTGAAAACTCAATATCGGGGAGTGAACTTCTGTCGGTAGCGGAATACAAGTATACAGCAGATAAAAAGAAAATCTATTTCTTTACCACCAAAACACTAAGAAAGCTATATTTATTTTAAGCTTGTGAATTTTCAGAAATTTATAATGGTTTATACACAATAGGAAAGCCCGCAGGCCCTGCTCGGTTCTAGCTCGTCTAATTCGGTGTAAAAACCTGGGAAGTTTGTCTTTTTTCTCTCCTATTTTCTTAAGTATAGCTCTATAAGTGGGATGAGCATGATCGTCTGGTTCAGCGTAGTCCTAAATAGGACTGTTGTTGTTGGCAATGACTGACGTTTCTACAACCTGTGCGGTAGTCATCTTTAGAGTCAGTGAGTTGTTTTATGTCAGTTGATGGTATCGAACTCTGGTTATTGATCTCATTGGTCAATTAAGTCACGATGTTATATGTCGTCTGTCAGTTAAGCCGCGATGTTAATGTTGGCTATGAAGACTTGTAATGTCATTGGACAGGGGCGTTTCCATCCGTCTATTGTCACAGTTAAACAGTCGTTTATGTTAGTCAAATTGTCAGTTGTCCAGTCATTCTCTCGTAGTTAGTTTTGCTTGAGTCCGTCAATAAGTCGTTTGTACGGTGCCGGTAATTTTGACTACGATTCAGTGGCGTTCGTTTAAGGTTAAAGAGTAGTGGAACATGCACTTAGCTAATCCAGCTAGTCGACAGGCACTCCACTAAAATAAATTATTCAAATGCAACATAACAATTAAAACCCCAACTGGGAGGAGGCACCTTGTTAAATAAAGTTGCTACAAATAAAATAAAAATGCTGCAAATTAAATAAAAGTCGCTGCTGCAAATAAAAGTAACTACTGCAAATTAAGTGACAGGAAAATATGAGCACGCACTTACGCACTCGGAACAGTTGTATCTAGGGCCCACTCACCAGTCGGGTAACACAGTCGGGCGGGAAAGACGAGGGAAGGCGCCATGTTTTGCAGTTCTTGTGGCTCGGAATGCTCGGCTTCGGGAGACGTTTTGTGGTCACTGTGGCTAATAGGTTAACGAAGTGACCGAAACGATAACGAGGAAGGTCGATGAGGGTGGTGCATCCGTTCCGTTAACCGTTTAGACAATAATATTATAAGGCCATAAAAAGGAGGATATATAGAGGATATTACACGGTGGCGAGAAGATATGAATTTTATGTTCGAGTGGCAAGAACAATATCTCACTCGTTCGCTTCGCTCACTCGTGACGTCATTGAACGATACGACACTCACAAAGGTGACATACGGAAAATACGCCACTCGGGTCCCGGATGAAGTGGCGTATGTAATCTACGAGTGGTTTAGTTCCCAGTAAAACACTCTCCTCGATATAACAAAAAGGGCTACTTTCGGAACAAACGTCCTGCAAAGAAAGTAAAACTTGGTCATCCGTAAGACTCGGAGGTAAAGATAAACATTTCTGTTATGACACTGAGAGGGATGGAGGTCTAATGGCAAAGAGGGGAATAACACTTCCCATAACAGTAAGAGAGAGTATTGGTGCTGAAGGGTTGCTCGAGAAAGCCGTGGAAAACACCACCTCTTCTTTTCAAACCCAGATCCTTAAGCTTCCTTTCCAGAGTTCGGACATGCATTCGCACCCCATTTTGTTTCCCAACAAACCAACGATGGCATTATAAGGATATCCTCGGTGGAAATACCCTTTGATTAGTTCTTCAACGTCCACCGAATCCGTCGAGGCAAAAGAACAATGAAGTGCGAAAACAAATTCTGAGGTTAAATTACTGAACGGAAGTCGGCCTTGCAAAAGAACAATGAAGTGCGAAAAAACATTCTGCCTTTCGTTACCCACGTACCACCCCGCTTTAGCGAACCTTAAAAACATCTCGATGAGCAAATGGCATTTAATCCAGAATCAACCACTACTGAGAGAAATATACGACAAGCCTCCAAAAGAAGGAGTTTGCATATATCCCATCATGCTTTGCGTTGAACTATATTGTCAAAATCGATTGGTCACGTGATACAGTTAGTTCAAGATGGACGCCGTGGAGAGAAGGCCGTGCTACGTGAAGCTATTCAAAGATAATCGCTACGTGTGGCTTCATTGCATGGATTTGAAAAGGCGATACGAGCTTACAGTCAAAAGCTTTCCACTTTTGAAGGTCCAGCTTGTTTACGGCCACTTTTCTTTCATGTGGGTTTTGTCGGAACGAAGACTAGTTATGTTTCCCGACTTGGATGATGTGATACCGAAATATTTACTGGAGTAAAATTACCTTGTTGTATCGAAATGAAGTCAAGTGCCATATTTGTTGTGAGTATTTTTCCTTTGTAAAGGATTGTACCCAATATGATTGTGTTTTTATCCTTTTTCTGATCAAATTTCTTTGAGTTTCATCCGACGTTTATCGCACCTCTAACTTCCTCAGCTTATGATCAATAAGCTCAAGTCTTCTTTGCTTTCATAACACAAAACTTTTTTGTACTAGGTTGCCCCGGAAGAAACTGACGACAACGAAGGAGCGAAAATGACTGTTATCTGGGATTTTGAGCCGACAACCGGTATGACAGGAGCTGCCATACAACCAGAAGAAAAACCAGCAGACCACATGGTGTCCGTTCCAACGCTTGAATGAATGAATGAATAACTTTATTTACCGAGGGTGACACATTACAGTTAAGAACTGGTAAACTTGTGGCCCTCCCCTAAATATATAAAACTAATTTACAAATATCAAAAAGTGTAAAAGCAGTAAAAAAAACGGTTATACCTAGGACAGCGTACAGTTATATCACCATAGCGTGAGGTTCTGGTCGACATGTCGCTGATACGTACTAATCTATTACCTATTTAGTAAGTATTCTGGGCATTGTCCATTTAAGCATTTCTAGGATATGCATAATTTATTTACATTGATCTCGTGATAAGAGGGTAGCCAGTCCAGTCTCTTGAATAGGGTTACAGTACGTTGGTCTCTTGCTTTTAGGCCTAAAATAACCCGAGCTGCTCTTTTCTGAAGACGAAAAATTCGTCTAATATTACACTTTGACATAGTTAATAGATTGGAATGGTTCTGAAACTCGTCAGACTGTTTTGTTTTACGTTTTTGTGGACCTGACACGGTGCACAACGTTCAATAGAATTCCCATCATTTTGATGGTATTGACCAATAAACACGTCCCATTAATTTATTCGGTCACAATTTGCGAACAGAAAACAAAGGATTGTGCACCTTCAGGGAGCTTCCAACATAAACTGCAGCACCGTTGTTTTTATATGTGATGTTCGTCGTCTTTCATAAGCAGTCTCCTCTAATAACTATGACTTTGATGTTGAACACCAGACTGCTCCGCCGTATAGGAATACAAGCTTAATAGCTGCGTTGTAAAAAGGTACGCGCTCGTTTAGAGGAAGATATTGTCTGATCGATCTAAGAAGACCTATACATAGTTGTTCAACATGATCATTAAAGCTGAGGTCTTGATCAACATAGACTCCAAGTAACTTCTGACTTGTGGTGTTGTCTAATTCTTCCCCTTTACTGGTAAAGATTCTCATCTCATCGACACTGGTGTCCTATTCAAAATTTAGGAGATAAGCAGCAGTTACAAACAAAAGACTTTGTCTTCTCGGCATTCAACTTGAGACGGTTATTTCTAGACCAGTTCTCGAGTTCACGGGTGTTCTCACAGAGCTTAGAACGCTTGCCTTCGATGATCATGAGCTGTCGTGCAACTGCACTCAATTTCCTAGCGTTGGTGACATAGTGGGTACATCAGACACAGGAGCAATCACAGCAAGGTTGCAAAATATTGATTTTCAGTCAAACCGGATGTTCTTTTGATGGGAACTTTGCAAACCTCTGCCGCAACATTGGTATTTGATTGATAGTTTGAGTCGAGCAAGTTGGAATCCGCGCGAGCAAGTTGCTATCGCTTTTGCGCCGTTTTCAAATATCATTTGAAGAGCAGTTTGTGAATCGAGATTCTTACTGTGGTTTACGATGGGTAACATACATTATAATCGTACCACGA